CGGCCATCGCTGACTTCATCCGCCAGCAGCAGGTCGACCCAGTGAAAGAGCTGCCCTCAGTGGAGGAGATTAATTCTGTGGATGTAGGTGGCAGTTTCTGTTAATGTGCAAGTTTCCCCTTTGTATAATTAAATGATATTCATTTTTAACACTTTTTTTTTTGTGTGGGGGGGTTAACAGAGGAGCAAGAGAAACATCGTTGGTTTCTTTGAAAACAAGGACTCTGACAACTATCGAACATTTCAGAAAGTTGCCAACATCCTTCGAGATGACTGCACATTCTTGGCCGCTTTCGGGTGAGACACAGACACCAACTAGATCCACCGATGGTCCACGGTTTCAGCGTTATTCTTCCTTTCATGTTTATATCCTTAAATTGACTGTCGTAGTGAGGTGTCTAGGTCCGAGCGCTTCAGTGGAGACAATGTGGTCTACAAACCTATGGGCGAGGGCATTCCTGACATGGTTTACCTTGGCTCCCTCACCAACTTTGACCTGACCTACGCCTGGGCCCAGGACAAGTGTGTGCCTCTGGTTAGGGAGATCACCTTTGAAAATGGAGAGGTTTGTTACCTGCTTTTGCTTAGTTTTTATCTTCTAGATGTAAGTGTATATATTTACATTCAAAAATACAGGAGGGTTGTTGTGGAGTCTGTGTGGAACTGCTGAGGCCTTAAAAGGTTCTGACTCCATCTGTTTTTGACTGTGTGTGTTTTCCAGGAGCTGACTGAAGAAGGAATCCCTTTCCTCATCTTGTTCCATCTTAAAGAAGACACAGAGAGCTTAGAGAAGTTCCAGCATGAAGTGGCTCGCCAGCTCATCGGTGAGAAAGGTGAGTGTGTGCACTTTGTATCTGTCAGGGAAGTCATTTATCTTTTTATACTGTATTGACAAGAATCGGGCCAGTTCCATTGCCTCGGGTTTATAAAGCCATTCGTGAAAGAAAGGCTCTTTCTAAAGAGCTTGCTGAATTTGAGCGTGGTACTGCAACAGGGTGCATTCATTGCAACAAGTCAGTAAATTCCTTCCCTCCTAGATATTTCACAATAAGTGGTATTATTGGTTTTTCTTCCCTCAGGGTCAATAAACTTCCTTCATGCGGACTGCGATAAGTTCCGCCATCCTCTGCTCCATATCCAAAAAACGCCAGCTGACTGTCCCGTTATCGCCATAGACTCATTCAGACACATGTATGTCTTCCCCGACTTCAAAGACCTCAAGTAAGTACGACGTTACTCTTCCCATATGAGGCAATCTTGTTTTAAGTTGATAAATAAGAAAACTGTCTTAATTTTAATAAATTAATTTGGTTTGCGATATCACCTCATCTTTGTTCAAGTATATCCAAGATTTAACAAACAGGAATATAGGCTCATTATTGTTTCATACAATAATAAAAAACGAAAGAAAAAGCAAATGGCCAGCTACAAATGAAACCTGTCCACGACTGGACTTTACTTAGTAATTTACAATTGAATCATTCTCGTGTTCAATCAGTTTCATAACCAGCATTCTTTTGGATGTTTTGAGGAATTACTGTTGGATACTGATCAGCTAAATTATATAAAATTTACCTGTATTGTTATAATGTTAATTTCATAATGAGACCTTCTCTTCATAAGACAAATGTTGTTACACACACACACACCATAATCCTCTGTCCGCTCGACACCAGAGAAATGTCACACCTCCTCAAATCTGTCCTTTATGAATGGGCCAGGACACTGGAGCTAATGTGACATGATTTGGCACGTGCAATAAGTGCTAAACTAATCCAGTCTAATCTAATTTAATCTTATTTATTGTGCCCCCACCATTATGCACCCCCACTCCGTCCCCAATCAGAGTCTGATCAGATAGACAGAAGCCCTGAGGACTGACTAGCCCTCCACAGCCTAATTACATCACATCACCACTACATGTGGCACATGGCTTGTAATTGCATTAGCACAGTATGTGTATATGTGTGTGATATATATATATATATATAGATATAGATATAGATATATAGATATAGATATATAGATATATAGATATATAGATATATAGATATATAGATAAAAAAACACACATACATATATGTGCGTGTGCACACTGGGTTACTGGTGACTCGGGACCAGCGCTGCCTGTGTGACATGACAGCAGCTCATGACCTGTCGTTAATAGGGAGACTTTACAGGGCGGCGTTGATATGGATTAATGCTGCTTGATGACATGTCCGCAGGGACTGGTGTCCTCTGCTGCTGCTGCGTCTCATGTTATTGTCTAATTCTGATCATCGCTGTAGTTGAAGCAGTTCTTTTTCCATTGTCGGACATTGTGTGTTGGAATGCATAAATGATCCACGGTATTACATTTTTCCTTTTACTCTTTAGCTCTTTACCCCCTGAAAGTCCTTTAGGAGTAACCCTTGAAGGTTATGGTAACAAGCCTCCTAAATAAGTGGGGTTTGTTTCAGCTGTATTAGGGATTTTTTTTGTTTGTTTTTTTAGGAACAACTGTACAAACCTCAAATTGGATAAAAGATGATTGATGTCCAACATGTGTTTCTGTGTTTTCAGTGTCCCTGGCAAACTGAAACAGTTTGTTTTGGACCTTCACTCTGGTAAGCTTCACCGAGAGTTCCACCACGGGCCCGACCCCACGGACAGCACGCCTGGACAGGTTAGTCACCGGAGGCAGTAGAGTCACTTTTTTTCGGGGGAGTTTAGGCAAAATTTGACCATTTGTTTCAAATCCGATTTCTTCTCTCAGGAGGAGACGGGCGGAGAAGCAGCCAGCAGTCCTCCAGAGAGCTCGTTCCAGAAGCTGGCACCCAGCGAGACACGCTACACCATCCTCAGCCGAGACCGTGACGAGCTGTGACCTTAACGGCCTTCCTGTGACTCAATGCCACGCCCCGGGGTCAGGGAGGGGGTTAGGGTTGGGACAGGCTAGTGGGACAGAACAGCAACACCCAACACCCTTACTGAAGAAAAGAAAAAAAAAAGAGCGAGACGACGAGGAGAAAGAAGAACGGGAGGAGGAGAGTGGAGTCCATGACACAACCATGTTGGGCTAACCTATATTTTCATAACACTTTCACAATTTTTATTTTGAATCAAAAACGTGGGTGGGCTAAAGAGGGACAATGTGTGTGTGGGGCATTGGGACATCAATAGAAGTGTTTTTACTTTTATTCTTTGGAGGTTGTAAATATGTTTGAGCTACATTGGACTCTCAATGTTGGTCTAAATTAAATGCAGTGTTTTTTTCCTTTATTTTATTCCTTTACATCACCCTGCATTTTTATTTTATTTTGTGTTTTTTTTTTTTGTTTGTTTTTTGAGGGGAAAAAACGAAAAGGAAAAACAGAACAGATCCCTCACTCACTCCGGTTGTGCGGTTCTTATCTGTGGGTAGTCCAGTTCAGCCTGTCTGACAGGAGATGCTCGTTTAGTCTCACTGACCTCATGGCTGCATCTCAATATGACCAACTCAAGTGTAACTCATTTGTATAGCACAAGTTATAACTGTATGCCTGTTTGAAGTAGCTTTATCTCCATATCTTCCACACACACACACACACACACACACACACACACACACACACACACACACAAAGAAGAAATAGGAGAATATTTGGTAGGGGTAGCATAACTTTAAATCATGGCTTGAAGATAAAGAGACTGAGCTACTCCAGCCTATTGAGATGCACCCCTTCTCTCCCTGGTACGAGTGGTACCATGGTCATTGATTATGATGTCCCTTACTGTGCTTATAAAATATCCCTGGGGTCTTCTTACATTATATTTTTTCTTACCGTATTGTGCCGCAGTGGATGTAGTTAGGTTTTTCTTTCCCTCCCTCCACCACCAATCAAAAGGATGTCATACCAGATTTAATGTTTTGTATAAACGTAGCACAAATCTGCACCAGAAACGCACCATCATCCCTCTTCATGAAGCCTGGTGGTGGCAGCATCATGCTGCATGGAGGCCCTCTCTGCAGCAGCCGTGTGATCTTACAGAAGGTCAAATGCATGCCGCAAAGAGAAATACTTTACAGAAAACCCTTCAGCTATGTTATTTCTTTTAGAGGAAGAAGAAAAAACAACACACAGGCAAATTAACAGGAACGTGACATTTTCTTTTGTAATTTGATCAACCAAAAAAAAAAAAAGTGTGGGAAGCTGTAGTGTCCAGACCTGAGGCAGCAATTCGCTGGAACTGCTGCTGACTCAGAACGAAGTCATGAAGGATACGAATGCTTGGCAGATCTGTCCACTCCACCCTCTAAAGCATCTGAAGATGCTGAGAAACATCCTGCAGTCAGAACATTTCTAGCCAGGATCCTTTTGTTAGAAATCTTTTAAATCCACAGACATATGGTGAAATCTAAAGGTCAAAGGGCAGGCTGGGTACTTTTCATTGGGATTGTTGTGGCAGTGACACCTTGGAGTTCTGTTCCTGGGAGTCAAAAGTAAAGAAGAAACTTTTTTGAAATACTGTACTTTAACATGATGATTGTTGTTGTGTTTTTTTTTTTTGCTGTCATCTGATAAATGTGTCATCGTGCTGGGGGAGAAGAGACTTTCCCAATGCTAAAGTAAAAAGGCCAAAACATGAGGGGAAAACCCACATGATGAACGGTGGAAATTTAGTCTGCCACTTAAAATTGAGTTCTCTTAAAATTGCTTTTCTGTCTTTATACGTCTACAAGTTTTTGGTACTAGATCCTTGAGAATCCACAGTTGGAGCTCTTGAATACGGGGACCCATTGCTAAGTTTGTACTGCGCATCCTGCCCTTCCCACAGAGGCCAACAGATACCTGCATAATGACATATCAGCCCACATACAGACCAACAGGGGGGAGTGTGATGCCATTTCTTAACCTGTCATCTCAGAGGAAAAGAAGAGTTTAAAAAAAAAAAAAGTAAATTAAAAACCATTTTACAGGATGTTGTCTACAGCTTTGTCATTTCTGCGGTTCATTCTGTTTATCCAATGAAGAGCCAGTGTTAAAAAGAAATGTTTTATTTGGCAGCAGCAGGATAAGATATGGACAGTAGCACTTTGTGCATCAATATAATTTATAAAAACCAAGTATCACTTAAATTTACACAAAGCTGTTCACATTACTATCTGCATCAAACAACTGAGGCATAGCCATCGGTAAACCTGAACACCCTGGAAATGAGCCTAAGCAACATGGATTAACTGCTCACATTATTGGTAGGGTCTGATAAAACCGTCTTAAAGTAATTTGATTTGAGTGCTGAACATTATTTTTAGTAGAGAGTTGTGCTCAATAGTCAAAAAGCACAAAAAAACAAAAAACCCTGAAGTATAAATAACTGGTGCTGTGTTCAGAACATAAAATCAGTGGTGTATAAAACAAACATCCCCACAGAAACACCATTCACCCTGGAACATCAGCATGTGACTCTTAATTAAGGCCGTCATTACATAATTGTTTTACACAGTGCTTGGTAACAGCGATGTTTAAGGCGAGCACCCGACATTCAGTCTCTCTGAAGCTCAACAACACCAGAGGTGTTCATTGGTCAGTCAATACAGGACCGTCAGTGATAGGTCAGTGGAACACCAGGGGCTGATGGGTCATTTGTCCTTCCTCGCCTCTGGTTCATCTGTTGGTGGTGGTGATGGTGTCGCCGTCAGCTGTTTCATCTGTAGATCCACGTTGGCTCGGCGGTGTTTCTGGACCAGGTTGCCACCAGCAAATCCCAGGGCGCCGCCTCCCAGGGCGGCAGCTACCCCTGCAGCTTTAAAGCCAGCCAGCAGGCCAAGTGGGCCTCCTAATACACCGCCCAGCAGCGCCCCGGCAACCGGCAACACCGCCAACTTGTAGCCAACTGCCTGGAGAGACAGGAAAAAGAGATATGTTCTAGTTTAATTTAACACCGCTGCACGCACGCACGCACACACACCTTTGGTGGCATTAGTACTTTGTGGCTTCAAGACAGCGATAGAGTTTGGATGCGTCTTTCATGATCACACATCAACTCACAGAAGAAGGGAGAAATTAGAAAATAAATACACAAACAGCCCTGCGTATGTAAATGTAAACCGTCACTTCCACGGCTGCATCAAAGCGTTTTCATTATCTCCATTTAGGAAAAAAAATCAGAGAGATGTGGGCTGTGTGTGTTATTACAGCTGTTATCATCAGAGTGGAAGGTGCTCTTTGCTGATGGCAATTAATGACTGATTCCCTGACCATCCTCACACACACACACGCGGACACTCACTTGATTAACACTTCACCATTAAATTAATCTAGTTCAAAAGCTGGCATCGCTTGTCCCCACCCCTGTGGCAGTTGAGGGAATGTTAATTTCATCTGAGCTGAGTTAAAAGGACTCTGGGTGCAGGTTGTGGAGGGTGGAGGAAGCGCGGGTGTCGTGTGTGACTATGAGTCTGTCTGTGTGTAATGCCGTTTGACCTGATGACAGATTACAAGCTTTCAAATGCGTTAAAACATCTGACGTCCTTCGCATCCGCCTTATCTCTCCACAACCTCCTCTAATGTGCGGCCCACTCCATCTACCCGTGACCTTACAGAGAGGTCAGCTTTCGTTTAGTTTATTTGGGTCAATTTAATTTTAAAGAAACTGCTTAAAAAGAATGCTTTATTGAAAAAAGTTTAAAGGTCAGTGTGTCCTGACTGTTAACATCACAGGGTTTTTGTCTTATCAGTCTGTATGCACAGACCCTGATGTAGAGCTCAAATAATTTACAAAGATGTTTTTGTTTGCTTTTTACTTGGTTGATTCACAATTTAAAATCCACTTTAAGGTAGAAAATCTTAATAAAATAATACATTTTGCCCGATTTCTTCCAAAAGATGCTTTTGCTGCTAATCGAATATCCCTGATTGTACTGTTTTAGCAGTACAATCAGCCTGGTCTGGGTAATTTAATGACAATTTCCATACATTTTTAAAACATTTCATACACAGACTCATTAGCTAACTGAAAAATGATAAAATTATGAAAACAAGATGCCTGTCAATATTGTTCTGACCCTTTAAGCTCAACTACTCTGCAGATTACTGAGTAGTGTTAGCTGTGCTAGAGAGGCTGATATAATACATTTTTTTTTCTACGTCATGATCTCAAAAAAAGAAATTTACCCTGACTGTATTTTGGTGCTGGCAGAAAACTCAAAAGCAAGCAGATAGTCCTAAAGGAAGCAAAAGAGGAAAGCAGATGACAGAGGGCTGTTTTTTTAGTTATGTAAGCATTTACAGGTGTGACTGTGTGTCATCCCCATCTCTGAGTGTTTGTAATTACAGTCCAATTACTCCACAGTGAGCTCAAAACAAAGACAAACATGGACGGCTTCTTAGATTTCTCAAACTAAATGTAAAGTCAGGAATAATCTGTACCGAAAAGCACGATTGTTCATTTTCATCGTGCGCGCGCGTGTGCGCATGTGTGTGCCATTTGACAAAAACAGGTGATTCATTCTGGGTATTACACACAAACCTTTCGACATTTCAAGTGTGTGATACGTGTGAAGGGCACTGAGTCGTCTGCTGACTTACACTCAGCGCAGAGCAGTGTAAGGGCGTGCTAAGCTAAAGGCAGTGCTGCTCCTGGAAAACTATTAAACAATCCTTTAAACCTCTTCTCAGTGCCACACACACACACACACACACACACACACACACACACACACGTGCAAACATACAAGCAAACTTCTCTTCTTGTCTCTTGTCGCCCCTCTTATCCCGCCTCTCTCCATCCCTCTCCTCTCTCTATTTCCTTAATTGCAGCTTTCCTCCGTATTCGAACAGATCAATAGGGACAAACGCTGTGGAATGGCTGGGAGGCAAAGTGCCATCGATCTCCCCATCTCCCAAACACATGCACACACATCAGATTATCAGCACACACACATTAATACACACCTTCCCCAGGCTCTTGGTCCCCTCCTCCACGTTGGCAGCGGCTGTGTTGACGTTGTCCTCTATGCTGTCAATCTTCTCCTGCTGGGACTGATGCGCAGGGGTTAGACACACACAACACGTATTAACACACACTCATATGCTAGCAAGCAGATTCACTTACAAACACGCGCACACAGACACACGTGTAAGCACAATTGTTGTGCAGATATTTTTTTACCCATCCAAATTCTGCTCCGCAGGACAAGTTAACAACAGAGGGGTGTGTTTGGAGGCTGCAGGTATATTCAAGGGAGATTTCAGTGAGGGTGGGGGTCATATGGTGTGTGCGTGTGTGTGTGTGGCATTGTGTAGATCTCATGAAATATTCAGAGTGGCAGCTGTCTCTCTCCATGTGAGGGTTGGATGGACACAGTGACCAAATAACAACCGGAGCATTTTTCTTCCTCAAAACGGTTTCTTTCTTTCTCTTTCTTTCATTCTCGCGAACTAAAAATCCGCTTCTCTTATGAATACCCGCGTGAAAGCTTCCTGTTATTTTGTGATGGTTTTCGGAGATTTTAAACCTGTAACCCTAGACTTAGAGATCGTGTGTTAGATTTTTCACATTTTCATTTTCTGCACCATTCTTCTTTCCAGCTTAAAAGCTGCAGTGGCACAGAGAATTGGGATAAAATGAGCGGCAACAACCAATTATTATAATTACTCTGATTAATCAAAAATTTGCAGATTTGGCTTTTACTAATAATTTAACCAGTAAAATGTCAGAAAAAAGTGGGGAAAAAAAGCTTTAGCTCCTTTTTTAGCTCCACCAAAAGTGCCCAAGTCCAAAACTGTTAATGTAACTCTCCCATTAAAAGTGATCATGACCCACTGTTCACTTTTGTTTTAAAAGAAAAATATCCTAATATAACCAGATATAATAACAGCACTCACAAAAGAAAGAATCTTGACTAGAACAGTTATTTGACGTTAACCATGTTCTGACTGTGTTCATGAGTTTTGGTGAATGTTTAAAAGATCCTCGTAGCTGTTAGTTTATAACATTTAACACCAGTAATTCCAAAACAATCAGACAGCTCTATTATTATAATACTGTAATGGGAATTAATTTCATGCTGTGTTTCTGCCTCAGTACAGACACAGAAACATACAGATAAGCCTGAAGGCGCCCCAACATCGGAACAGACACAAACATGACGCATGTACAGACACAACCACACACTCACACTCACTCAGTATTTCCACTGTGGCTGAGTGCTGGAATATTACTCCCCTAACGGCTCCTTTCACCCTTGAGACACCACAACATGTCTATGCTCTTTCTGCCACACCCCCTCCCCGTGCCTCTTTGTGTTTTTTCAGCCTAGCTACATCTTTACCCGCCCTCCTCTTCACTGTTAATCTCTCCTTCACTCAGCCTCCCTCCATCCCTAAGGATAAGACTGATAATCTGAGCCGTCTGTTCTCCACCTGCTCCGATGTATCCCTTGTTTCCCCTCCTCTCTCCTCCCCCTGTGAAAACCTGCCCCCCTTCTCCCTGCTTCACTCTCACTCATCTACTTCTGAATCTCTCCTCTGCTGAAGGGCCTCTGGGGCCCCAGCACTACTCCGGAGCTGCTCTGTGTAAGCTTGTCTCAGTGGGGCCTTACCAAGCAACGCAAGCGAGCACGCGCACACAGGTCAAATACACACCACCCACCTCCTGGAGGTGCACAGACCTCTATCACATTGTTTTTGTTCACAGGGGTGACTGTGCACACATGTAGACAAAGAAATGCAGAGCTGAGCGTTTGTACTCACATGGACGAGGATAGAAAACTCTGTCACCAAACCGCTCAGCTCCTTCAGATCCTGAAAGGGGGAAGAAAAAAAAAATTAAAATGCTGTATTGATTTGTTTGAGGTGCTTATCGTACAAATCTACAGCTACAAAGTGTCCAGACTGTCAGTGAATGGGATTCATAACTGCATTAACGAGAGTGACTAATTAGGATGTGCTATAGATCTAAATGTGTCTGCAGGAACAGATATCATGGCATACATGTGAAATAAATCATGAATTTAAATTTAGCTGTGTGAGTTTCAGGGTTCTCGTACCATGCTGATAACTATGACATGTCGCCTGTGAAAAAAAACGCCCGCTGTGTTGCTTTTAAAGTCTTTTTCCAGGTGAGAGTTCATGCATACGAGAAACCCCTCACCCTATGCTTCTCTATCAGCACACTAAAAAGGACCACAGAACACCACCCAGTCAATAGCAGCGACTGTGGATACAGCAACAAATGTAAGGCATAGTTTTGTTGGTTTGCTATTATCCTATTAGGCCTAAAAAAGAAGAAGAAAAAAAAGAGAGATTGAAATTGCATGCCTGAAACAATAAATCGACTTCTTTGTTTGCTATGAGATCACAGCAAAGAAATAAGTCAAAACTTGTAGGATAATAACACCCCACCATAACGGACAAATGATTTTTTATTTATAATCAGCACACAGGCTTAAAGCTCGACATTTGTGAATATTCCCAAGGACATGATAAATAGATACCGTACATACAGCTTACCTAACAATTAGAACATATCCGACTATGACTTGCAGACTAAAGCTTGTTCCAGACGTGCATACCTCTTCCAGGTTATCCCAGGACTCAGCTGCTCTCTGATCAGGAGGGATTTCTGGGAGCTGGACCTGGCTTTGCCTGCCAAATCCTGGTACGTCGCCCGTATTGTCATCAGTGTGGCAGCTACTGGATGCACAGCTGGATGAATGAGTGGCAGGTGGTGACGCTGGAGCGGGCTGAGGCTCGGGGTTAGAGTGCAAACGGAGGAAGTCCTGTGCAGCGGCTGACGCCCTGTCTCTGACCGGCTTGATGAGCGCTTCCAGAGCGTCGGCGTCTTCAGCACGGACCCGAGTGCACAGCTTCTCCATCTCTCTCATGTTGGCTCTCAGCTGCTGCAGAGGCGCAGAAGAAGAGAACATTTTTCAGTTTGAATGACAGTGAGTGGTATGAATGTGAGGGAGAAGGGACACTTGGACGGCCAGAAGGACAAGCAAACCTGTGGTTAAATACAGCCGTCACTGCCAAAACAAAACATGCAAGAAAAAAAATAAAAAATAGAAAATGTGACGAGGCAGACGTGGCATAACAAATCCAAAATCTCCAATCTGTATGGAAATAGTAACATCTCAAATCATCTCAATATCAAACATACATTTTCCCTCTGGCATGCAGACACTCCAGTTGTAAAGACTGTTTGGATGAGAGTTGTGAAATTTCTTTCTTCCCTCATTTAATGGAACTAGATGGCATTCACTCTGTGTTCAAAGCACAAAACATGATCGGGTGACATTTAAAAAAAAACAAAAAAAACAAAAAAAAAACTACTTTCTTTCTGCTGTCTACATCCGCCAGCTAAAGGAAGCTCACAGCTACCTGACATTATAGCTCAGCCGATGGGGAGTCCTTAACGTTTACATTAAATCCTGTCACCCTGTCAAGAGCACAAGCACGTCATCATCAGTAGATGCACTGTGATACGTCTGCAGGGTGTAGTTCAGTAACAATTAAAATGGTTCTTGGTCACAATGTTAAGTTTTCTGAGCAACCAGGTCATGATTTATATCACCCAAAAAGAGCACTTTGCTCTGACTGCAGGTTTACTTGTGGTTCCCAGAATATTTAAGGGGGGGGGGGGAAG